TAATACAAGTTCATGCATTTAAACGCACAGAATTGGAGCGCGCTAATATTACTATTACTAGTCTGCGCATGCATGGAGATAGGAGCTGCATTTGATGTCAGGCGATTTTCTTTAAAGTGGTTTTAACAGGTTGGCAGCAACACTTAGTGCTAGTGTGCGGATTAAACAACACTTGTGTGTGTGTGTGTGTGTGTGTGTGTGTAAGTGTAAAAGAGAGTATTATAACAGCACTGCAGTTTGCAGGAAGTGTAGGTATTGCATTGTGGGTAAGAAGGAAAACAAATGTGAAAACCCTTCCTTTATTAACCTTTGTCCGTTAGGGTATTGTCACGTTGAAACAGGAAAGCCACGTCCCCAGTTGGAAGCACACTATTGTTTAAAATATCACGGCATGCTGGGACATTTACTGTTCACACTCAATTTCACAACCTATTTCAGCCAATTCTCTGAACATTTAAGCTTCGTCTTTCTCACTCTTGATCCACGCATTTTTCTGCTGTGAATTCTATCGCCGAGTGTGTCTTCTTAGCAGCCTCTTTTCACACTTTCAATCGCACCAAGGAACTGTCCTTGAGCATGTTGGTGAGGATGCGCAGGGTGGCCTCATCACGCCTTTCACCCGGTGATGGAAGAGAAGAAGACGGAATGCCGATGATCCCACAGCATCGTTTGTATTCCCCCTTCATACACTATACTATGCCTTTTTATGACATACTCTATTGTGACATTTTTTATGACACTTTTTAATGACATTTTTATGAAATACTACACTTTTTTCATCATATTTTTTATCATTTTTTGTATTATATATATTTTTAAACAGCGTAACAGTCATGAGCCAAAGCATGAAACTAAGAGAACTCGCCTCAATTTTTCACCGTGACAGCTTTTTCATGGTACTGTTCATATCTTGTTCTTTGACGGCAGGTTGTTGAGTGATACAATTGTCTTTTAACTCTGAAATGGATGTATAGACTGTTTTCTCGTCAAAGTTTCTTGAAACAAGCTGGAAAGGAGATTGCATCTGCTGAGCACATGTTCCAACAACAATACAGTGTTGATATAAGCAGCTGTATGCAGGAGAAACCTAAAGGCATTCACTCTGTGGTGGTGAATCTCAAAAGAAAGATTGAAACAAACAAAAGTTTCAAACCAACTTCAACATAGATTTAACGGGTCAGTAAATGGCAAAAAAAAAAATTGGGGTATGATGTATCTATAGATGCAGATGTGGGCAAATAAAACGAAGATACATATCGATATATGCCGGCTTTATTTTCCCAGTAAAAAGGTCCGTCTCCGAGAGCTCTGCCACCGCCCCAATACGACAGAATCTGCTTGAAACATTTGAAAAATATATTTAACATTTCTTTCCAGAAACAGTACCCTGGATAATCCACAGACCTCACTGTGAACAGTTTTCAACTACTTTCCACCGAAGAGATAGTATGCTCTGGTGGATTAGCCAGAGTTATTCTTGGAAGACATGTAGTGATTTTTTTTAAACGTAATTATATCTGTATGGTGGGTAGTTTGCGTGTTTTTAAACCAAGCTTTTCAAGGGCAACATGTACCCAACCCACGTTTCAGACCCAGTTTTACTGCAGCTTTAAATGTCAAATTCAAAAGTTGAAATGGTCGTCTTTTGCTCCGCTGCGGCGCCATAATATTCAACTCACGAGGAAGCCGTTGACGTTTGCTTGAGGGGGACAGTTGCCATGCTGGCATGCGGTGTAGTTCAACACCTCCCAGACAGCCTGCGGGGCGTCAAACCACCACCGCTGGGGTCACTCGCTTCCCACCGTATGGCGCCGAGCGGCCGCTGTGACCCCACCTGTCCGTTCGATCTCCATTCGAGGGGCCGACGCGGGAAGAAAAAAAAAATAAATCTCATGCAAAACGTCAGACCATCCAAAAGGCCTCAGACGCTTCCTTTCCTTTTCGTCGTCTAGTGCACGGAGCATTTTTCATTTCTAATGGGATTAGCGTGATATTTAGTCATCTCACGAGCGAGGGGGGGAGCTCACACTCTGCTTTCCTTAAAAAAAGATATCCCAGCGACTTGCTAATGGCGTCATCTCCGCCTGTGCGAATACAAAAAAAGAAAAAACTCCCTGAATGCGCTTATTGTTTGCTGCAGGGCACATTTGTTTGATGCGTCTAATCCCTTGACTAAAGAAACAAAAGGTGTAACATTCGGCTGCTGAGGATAAGTGTATGTGTGTGTATGTGTGTGCATGTGTGATGGTGTACATAAACCCATCTCTCGCAATCCCACACAGGCTCTTAATCCTTAGAAGATCAAGTGTAACCAGGCTGGAAGTGTGACTGGGCGGCAGCCAGCGTGATGCTCCCGGCGCATGTTGACTCACGCCGTGATCCCTCCTCCTGCCTCGCAACAGACCACGGTATGTCGTACTCCTGTAACCTTTTGTTGCCTTTTGATTCAAACATTCCCTTCTCCTTTTTTAAAGGCCAAATGTTTCCCCACCTTGCACGCACATTCTGTTATTTTTCATCATCGTTCTACATCTGCATCGTTTTTCACCAATGACACTTTGACAGAGCTGCGGGGGAAAAAAAAAAAGACACTTCTGAAGACTAAGCACAGATGTTTATGCAGTAAGGGAAAGTAACGTGTCCGGCTTGTGTGCAGCCATGCATGGCTTTTACAGTAAACATCTGTGTGCAGGGTTTGCATGCACTTGGCTTCATCTATGCTTAACATATAAGTGCTAATTGTCACGGTACCGTAGGCAGTAAAATGAACCAAACAGGAGCCAGGGCGCATTTACATGAGCATTTATGAATCAGGTACAGTGAATAATGTTATTTCTGTATTTGACTCATTTTACTGCCACATGCTCTGATTTAGTAAACGTATATAAGAAGTGGACGTAGTCACCATGATGTGATTGGTTTGTGTTTTTAAAGCCTTGAATTTGGCATTTTGTCTGTCGCTAAAACGCAAAACATTTTTTGGCAAACTAAAATGTTATTAACTTCCATGAATTGAAAACACACTGGGAAAGGGTTAAAGTTCTAAGATGAAAACATGGTCTGGCCTTACAACGCCCTGCTAGCGACCTGTCAATCACAAGGTAGCCACGCCCTAAAGCGTAACCTGCTGTTTTACTCTAAATGGGACCATAATTTACTAAATGAACATCATGCTGTACTGAAGAAGACTTGAAACTAGAGATTGAGACCATAAACTCATGTTTACAATGTTCACTGAGGTAATAAATCAAGTCATAAGTAGAGTAATTTTCTCATAGACTTCCATACAATCTGACTTATTTTTGCAACCAGAAAAGTGGCCCCCTGATGGCCAGTAGAATGTAGGTTCAGACCACTTCCGCATTGGCTTCAGATTTCAGACCCGGAGGTTGCCGCCATTAACAAACAGCTGATTGGTGCAAATGAAGGACTCAAAAATATCATGTTTTGAGGAACAATTTTACTGCTCGCGACAGCAACCGCAAGAGAGTGAGAAGGAAGTCTTGTTTCAGTATCCGATATTGGTGAAGTGGCAAATTTTTATGAATACCACATTTGTGGTCATTATTTGACGAAGGTGCGTTTTCGCAGCACCAAATTGTGCGACGGTCTGCTCGTTGGGTGAGCGCTCCCATGGAAGCACATGGATTCATGTTGATTCATGTTTTTGACCCATTGTTACACCCCGCAGTGGTTATCGGGGCTTTACGTCAGAAATCCATTGAGCCCTCTTGACAGGCGACGCCATTCTCATTTAAAAAGAAGGGGTCAGCTTCAGCTCGAGAAAAGGGACTCTGGTCTCACTCTTAAGGCCAACACGACTGTCCTCTGAGGCTCAGCTGCCAGAACATGTCATCATCGTCTTCACTGAAATGCACGAATTTCGCCGTTAAGCCTCTGTGTGTGTGTGTGTGTGTGTGTGTGTGTGTGTGTGTGTGTGTGTGTGTGTGTGTGTGTGTGTGTGTGTGTGTGTGTGTGTGTGTGTGTGTGTGTGTGTGTGATGATTCACATCATCTTGGATTCAAACCTCCTCCTGGAGCACCTGTAGTCAGGGCTCAGTGATAATCAGTAAAGCAAAAAAAATAGAAGAAATAGTGAGTGAGACCTGCTCCGGGGGAACAGATCCATGGGTGTGCTTTTATAAAAAAAAAAAAGATATAATTTGATGTCGAAACATGCTGGTTAGGCAAATTCTTTCTCTTTATTAAATTTCACAGAGATTACAGTTTGGATCTCTTTCACCGCGTTACGTTTCCATCTATTCAGCGGATGGCAGCTTTGAAGTCGGAGGGAGATTTATAAAGTGAGGCAGGTACGGGCTAACAGGGCCTCTCTCTAAGCCTGTGACAAAAAAGACACTGAGACGCTCTCTGTCTCTCCTGATCCACAGGGAACCGGGAGGGGAGGGGAGGGGAGGGGAGGGAGGGAGGGAGGGGGGGAAGTAGGCCAGGCTTCGGCGTCACACTGCTGCGAGAGGATCAGGACGCCGAAGTTGTTGACTTATATTCAAAGTTCCGTTTTCACACTTTGGGTGTCAATAATCTCACAGATGGAAAGAGAGGAGAGATTTAAAATATTCCTCTCACACACCATGTAGGTCATATTTTTAGGCTTTTCCAGCCCGAACACTGCGCCACGCGGTGTCATATAGAACCACCTAGCCCCCCTCCCCCCCTTTTTTTCATAAATCATCTTTTCCCGGTGATGGAAGTTGAACTATTCACCCGCCTCTATACGCGTCAGAGATGCATAGAAACATGAGAGGGAGTAACACAGAATAAAATCCTACAGGAGGCCTAATATATAAGCATAAGACACTAATATTATAATCGCACTTGTGGGTACAGATACATGAGTCACGACAGGAGTATTATGGTGATGCAAGTGGAGGCAAACTTTTCTAATTTTAGGATGTCGCCCCGGCTCCTGAATTGTGAGGGGCGAGGAATATGTGCGAGGACATTAGATGCGCGTTGGGGCACGAGGTGCGTTTACTTGCGCGCTGCACACGCGCTCCGTCATTTCAGTGGGAGTGAGCTTGTTCTTGTGGGCAAACCCTGCTGGGAAGACACTCATCATTTTCTGAGTGATTAGACCAACAGACCGGACGCATGCCAGTGGCTTAATAGACAACCATTTTACTCACTTGCAATTAGAAAAGCTGTTGACATCGCAGATGACCCTAAGAGGGGCACGGGCACCAAAACAGCCAGGAGAAAACCGAACGTGCCCCCACTCCCCGCGAGTCCTTACGCGCGCCCTCCATCGTCAGACGGCGAATCACGGGAGCAGCAAAGCGCCGGCGCGCGCCATTCGAGCGCGCATACACAGACACACACACACACACACACACACACACACACACACACACACACACACACACACACACACACACAGTCCGTCAGTGCCTGGGATTGGGCGGAGAGTGTGGTGGCTGAGGACGGAGTTACGGGATTGGTAGAGTTCAGCGCCAAAGTTGTTGACTCATAACCGAGCGGGCTCCCTCTCCCATCTCTTCACGGCGCGGAGCTGTCCACGGGCCAGTGGTGCTGAAACTACCAGCGCCGTTGGAGATTTTAATCCCCCCCCCCCCCCCCCCCCCCCCCTATCACGGTTTGATCGCTCCCATCGAACCTTTTTTTTTTTTTTTTGGAAAGTTACACGCGTGTCGGTTTGAGCGTCACTTGACGGATATTCATCCGCCGCCGCCGCTCTATCCGAAGAGCGCATCGCCTTCAACTTCTCGGCCGATCCAAAAAATAAGAGGACTCTCCGAGAGGTGCAGCCATGGCTTTCATGGTGAAACACGTGGTGGGGGGGCAGCTGAAGAACCTGACGGGCGGACTGGGGGGGGAGGAGAAACCCGAAGCGGAGAAGACGGACGCCGCCGCGCAGGGGATGACTCAAGAGGAATTTGAACAGTACCAGCAACAGTTAGAGGAGGAAAAGTAAGGCAATGATTTGAGCTTTTGTGTGTGCGTGTGTCGGAAGAGCGGGGCATGTTTAAACAGTGCGTTTGTGTGTGTAAATTAGCAGAGGCTCCCAGTGCGCCGCGCGCTCTCTTTTTTTTACGCATCAATGCAATAACACGAGCGCTCCACACACAGCTGCTCCTCTCGCCCAGGGAGCTGTCCGTCTCTGAGCGTCGGTAAATTATGTAGTGCCGTTTTTTTTTTGTTTTTTTTTATAATTTGGGATTCCTGGAATCAGTAGTCCATGGAAATGTCTACAGGGATTGGTGCCTTGGGCGAAACTGTGCGTGCGACTGACTAATGAGCCAGATTGTTTGGTAAATAAAGTGGGGTGAAGTAAAAATGCTATTTGGATATTATCATTCGGCAAACAGCCCACAAAACTAATATTGTTTTTTGTTGTTGTTTATTAGTAGACTTTTATCATTTATTATGATGGTTATCAAGATGGTTGCAATTCATTTACATTAAACAAATGTATTGCATCCCTGAACAAGTGGATACATTGAATTTAGAATGGTATGGCCTCTATTATATGACTATATTATGTTTTTTAGGTGATGTTTTTTGAATATATATTCACAGCTGTGAGTCCAGCTGTGCAACTTGCATTTATCGCTTAAGTCTTTGCTCTGTGTCTAACCTGCAGCAGTGAATTCTTCACATGTTAATGTTGCCTGATTTACATAGCTGTCATGGTGTTTTATCTCCTCAGGCTCGGGGGGGGGG